GAAAAAATAGTCAAATAATCAACAAAAAAATCACAAATAGCATAACCACACAAACTATGAGAATAGCGGTTTTCAACAATCAAGCAAATTCTGAAAACACTAATCAATTGTAAAAAAAATTCCACAATAAAACGAATACCATACACAAATAAAATGAACTTCACATAAAAATTGGAAACACAAAACTTCACTGATCTATAAACACAAAATCTCAAATGATCGGTAAATTTGACAACAACCATAACCACACTTCAAAATCAGACAGAAACCCTAATCCCCAAACAGGCAAATCAACCGTGGTCTATGTGAGGATCACTTACCGGTAAATTGTTCGAATCTGAGGAAGAGATTAACGTCACTGCCGGCAAAACACCAAACGCGGATGCCGGTTTTTGGTATTTCTCCGATGACCGTCTTGTTCCTCTCCGGCGACGGCGTGAAGTGGGCAACCTTTCGTAGAATCGACGGAATTGGTACCGAATGTGAAGCTTCGATCGTCTGTTCACGAGCAGACCTTTACACGAAACATTTCTCATCAACTCAGACAGGTGAAGACCAACTCTGCAAGGCACGACTATACACAGAAATGAGGGAAGATGAAGGAGAAGAAGAGAGCGCAGAGACACATAAGAGAGGAGTCAAAACCGTGTAAAACCACAGAGGAGAGGACTCAAAACTGGGAGATTGAGGTCGGAGGAAATGAAGGAAGAGAGGAGAAAATTTTGGCAGAAACTGGAGAAGGCGCAGAGATTCTCTGCCAAGACACGACCGAAGCCTGAGCTCTCTGCGCAAGAACGTGGAGTTGGATGGAGGTTGGTCACGAGGATTTACTCCTCCTGAGACAGAGAGCACAGTGTTTTTACTGTGCAAAAATTTGAGTCGTGGGCTGAATCAGGGGGGGCCTGATTTTGAATCAGGACCCAAAAAAGGATCCGTGATTCAAGTAGTGTTCTCAGTCCAAAACGACACCAAACAACAATTTGAGCTAATGACTTCAATTTTTAGACCTCAATCTCCCAACCAAACGGGGCCTTAGTGTTTTACATTTTTTTTTAGTACTCTTATCTTTTACCTACATACTAAGCAGAATCCGTTTATTTGTTTTTCAAACTTTCCTCCCCCACTAACGAAACGTTTCATGAATAGGTTTTTTTTTTCCTCACTCTGTCCTCCCTTTTTTTAAACTTTTTACCTTTTTATATTTTACTTATTTTTCCTCTTTCCTTTCTTATTTATGGCCCTTTATCATTTTTATCTTTTTTGCCCTATTATAAATTTTTATTTTTTCTTTCTTTAAATTGACCTTCATTTATTTTCTCTCTATTTCTCCATTAAAGTAATTTCTTTTTATACATATCCCTGTTTAAAGTTTTTTAAAAATCTCTTCCATACAGACAAAATGCTTCGTCCCAGGCTTTTTTTGCTTTTGTTTTTGTTTTTCTTATCCTTCCTTCTTCTTTATTTACATCTTTCAGTTTTCATTTTTATTTTCTCACTTTTTATTCCCTTTTTTTTTTTGTTGCTTCCCTTAATCTTTACTACATTACTAAGGGGAATAAAGCCCCGTTCACTTCGCTGATTCGAGTTGAGATGTGATTTTATGTGAGAGCTTTTTACTGTAACAAAAAAGTTAGATGTGATTGTTTGTGAGAGCTTTTTACTGTAGAAAAACTCGAATTCTAAACTCGAATCAGCAAAGTAAACGGGGCCTAAGTTTCTTCCTAGTATTCGCGAATGTTTCCCAAGGAATTTTTTCCTCATCCTCTTAAATACTTTTTTTTACTATATATATATCCATTTTTTTTTGCTTTCTTTTTCCCTCATTTCTTTCTTCCCTTTTTATTCCTCTACTGTACATTCTTTTTTTCTTTCCTCAAATGTGACCCTCATAAATATTTTTTTCTCTAACTATCCCATTAAAATAGTTTCTTCTCATATATGTCCAAATCAAAACTTTTTTTACGAAGTGATCCTCAAATTACTTTTTTTACCATATATGCCGAATAAATAATCTTTAATATCTTATTCTCAAATGTGTATTTACTGAAACATTTTATCTATAATACATTTCTTTTATGTGTACCACTAAATAATTTTTTATCTCATTCGCCCCATTAAAAACTTTTTTCCTTTTAATGTTGTTCTATTTAATATTTTTTATACTGGATTTAATTTGTAAGAAAATAATGATAAAAAACATAAACTATAATTTTTTAAAAAATAAGATCTTTATTTCACGCGCTACAACTAGTTTAAAAGAAAAAATAAACAAAAAGAATTTAAAAATAAAAGGAATTTCAGAAAGCTTTTTGTTTTGTTTTTTGTTTTTCTCTTTCTCTCGATCAAAATAGACAAATAGTAACACCACAGTCTCCCTCCTCCAACGGATACATTTCCCCTTCTCTCTCTCTCTCTCTCTCTCTAGATTTCGCAGCCATGAAGCACTTAATGCAGCGAAGAAACGGATCTTGAGGTAGACGACGATTGGAGTCCTCTCTCGCTCCTCCGCCTTCTCTCTCTCTCTCTCTCTCTAGATTTCGCAGCCATGAAGCACTTAATGCAGCGAAGAAACGGATCTTGAGGTAGACGACGATTGGAGTCTGGCGTTGCCAATTCCTAGTGTAGCAAAGCCCCCGGCCTAAGAGAAACGGAGAGGCTCCAAGGAGAACGCTCTGCTGTCTTATCCGGACTCTTTGCCTTCGATACCGAAGCAATCGCCAGCGATCTCCGCCACCAAGTTGAAGAGCCCGCTCCCACCGCGACCGCTGTCGTCGAACCCTCTCAAGAGGAAGCTGAGCGTGGTGATGGTCCTCGAGAACTCCGTCATAGGAACCTGCGATCTGGTGTCCAGGTATGGTTAGGTATGGGTTCTTACTCTGGAGTTACGCCTTTTGTTTAGTTGCAGAAGGAAAAAGTAAAGTTCGTTTTTGAATCTGGAGAGTAAAATTAGGGTTTGATTTGGATTTCGTTGAATCTATAAGAGGGGATTTTTTTTCCATTTATTCAAATTATTTGTAAACTTTAACTCTTTGAGGTTTCTAATTGTACGTAATTGATGCAATTATCCCATTTGACACTTCCTTCTTATAAAATTCCTCAGAATCCAAAAGAATATTTAGGTTCTTTAAGGAAAAATATGTTGAATTTTGTGTTGTATGTAAAAGACTTATGCTTTTTCTTTTTTATTTTTGGGCTTTAGTTCTATAGAGAGCAATTGAAAATCCAAGAAATGTTGATTTGGTTTGTTATATGGTAATGCTACTTCGCAGCCCAGAATCACCTCCGAGGGATCGACGAGTCGGTACCTACATTTTGGCAATTAATTCCACTGCTCCATTCCCCGATTCTATTTTATTTTATTCTTTTTCTGTTTCAGGTGTTTGGATATAGAGAAAGTGTGTGAAAGTAGGATGATATGCTCACTTTTTGAGAAATCTTTGGGTTCTTGAAGAGCTCAAGACCATTTGAAAGCTGAAGTTAACGTGGGGGGATTTTAATCTTTAACGTACTCAAGCCACATCTGGTACGTGCTAGGAAAATGATATCTGAACATTGGCTTAGAAACCCAAAAAATTGAAGAAAGGGACTTTTATTAAAGAGATAGTGTGTTTAGCAGTTTTAGACTGATCAGTGTTGTTGCTTGAATTACATGCTCTTATCAGCTTTCTCCATGTTGCTTGCCATTATTTTGATTTATTTCTTGTCTTGGTATCTTCCTTCACCTTTGATCGTTGGGCCTACTTCAACTTGCAGGAAAGTAAAAGTCTGAAAACCCACAAACAAAAAACTAACCATCTGAGCTTCAACTTTTCTGACTTGGATAGAATATTAGTTGCTGCAAACCATTTTAACATCGATCGTAAAGTTATTGATTTATGTTGCCAATTGTTTTGAGCTTTTATCAACCTAGCATATTATTCTGCTATCAGATGTATGTTGCCGTCTACATTTATGATGCTCCTTTTTTTTGTTTGTATTTCTTTTCCTGACTACGTAGGAACAAAACGAGTGTTGCTGCCACGTGTTGTTTCAAAACAACGTTGTCTGTTACAACTGGACTTTTTGTCCCTTTTAACAATTTGGCCGTTATATACAAGCAGCAGGTATTGTCATCTCTTTGTCCCCAGTCACTCTCTCATTCTTGCTATCTTTCTTTTAAAAATATGTAAAATTCTAGTTTGATGTTATTTTAATTTCTCTAAACATGTGAGATGTGGTTCTGATTTCTATAAAGCAGTCATCTTTATTTGTTTTCTTCCTTGCTCCGTTCCTTATTGCAAGCAGTGGCTTTACTTTCATTGTTCCCTTTTGAATGCAAGGGCAACTGTTCTGATGCTATATCTTGCTATAAAATACGTATCCTCGTTAATCATGAATGGTTTTACTAAGGTTCGTATCACTTGGGTTAGCAATTGAAGTAGTGTTAATGGCCTTTTGAACTTTAAATATCTGGATTTCTTATGACTTCTATTAATGTTTCAGTTTGAGTTTCTTTCACATTAGACTATACTTACTCCGCCTTGTTTTATTTCTACTTGTAAATGCTGTTGTTTCTACCTTTTACTAATTAGTTTAGAGAGGCACCTGGTTTACTCCGAGCAACGCTCTTTGGCTTCTCAGATTTCCAGCTGTTGGTGAGATGAGACTCCGCAATTGTACTGGATTTTTCAAATTTCTTATTAAAAATTGTTTAACTTGATAAAACTTGAAATATACATTGCAATGAGTTGCCAATTTTAGAATGTGAATTTTGTTCATTGATCTTTTTGATGGTTTAATTTTTTAATTGTTAGTAATTAGTAAATCCTCCTGCTATTAATATTCCAGATGTTGCTCAAAGAGTGGGGCAACTAGATCGGATAACTTTTACATATGTTGTCATGAAGGGTGAACATATCAGACGTAGAGCTTTAGCAGATCTATTCCTTGACACTTAAGCATACTAACAAAAGCCTAGTTTTTATTTTTGGAAATGTATTCTTTTGTTTTTCTCTCTAATGTTTGTCATGATAATGCAATATGATTGATAACTTTTTTTGGCTAAGAGATATGATGTGATAATTAGATGATATGATGATGGACAAGAAGGTTTTGGTCTTTGCCTATAAGGTGATTAATCTTTCTTTCATTCTCTCTCTCTAATTAAAAGAAATCTAATAACTGTGATGAAGGTTTTTATTTTAAAGTTTAAGATGCGATAAACATTTTTCAGACCTTTTTTTTTGTTTATTTTGGCGGGAGAAATTTCAGTTTGATGGAGGTTTTGCTATGACGGAAAGTAGGAAGTGCGAGAGAAAAAGTGTACTATTTTCCCTTCCCTTGTTTCCCTTCCCTTGTTTTCCTTTTTGTTTCTGAATTGTATATACAATTGTCCCTTATTTGGGATCTGAGAAAAAAAGAGAATGTTGTTTTAGTTACCTTGTGAGACAAATCTGAGTTTCCTTGAGCATATTTTCCCATCTGAATAGAACATTGTTTTATTTTTTTTCCATTTTCTTGGCTTTTTAAGTGTTTGCTATCAGAGACTAATTTGCATAACGGTGTTGACAAATTTGCATACTCTCTCTTGTTTCAAAACATTCATATATCCAAAATGGATTGATGTAGATGTTCTTTACAATATAAAGTTATTTGCTTGTTATAAATGTATCTATATGGATGTTTTCATTATTGGTTTTTGAATTCTAGATTTTTTGTGAATTTCTAATAAGTTAGTTTTTAATATTACAATATACCATAGCCAGTTCAAAAGCTGCTCTGCTAGGTTCTATTGATGTAGTGTCCTATTTTGCTCCTTTATAATCCTTAAATGAAAATTTGATTGCAGCAGAAGTTAAAAGGAAGACAGAGACAGAGAAGTTGCCTATCCAACATTGTGTAAGGTATAGTCAATGGATTTGGTGAAAATCAAAAACTGTGGGTGGAGACTTGTAGTATTTCTCTACTATTGTATATATATCAACTGTATAGTTTAAGGCCCCGTTCATTTCGCTGATTCGAGTTTAGAATTCGAGTTTTGCTACAGTAAAAAGCTCTCACAAACAATCACATCTAACTTTTTTGCTATAGTAAAAAGCTCTCACATAAAATCACATCTCAACTCGAATTAAAAACTCGAATCAGCGAACTAAACGGACCCTAAGTGTTATTAATTCTTTTATCTATCAAATTAAACTTTTTAGATGTAGTCTCTCCCTCTCTTAAGGCAGAAAAAAGAGAAATTATTAAAAAGAGAAAAAGAGAGAGGAAAATAAGAATAGTCATGATGTTTATGTTAATTTGGATATTGATGGCCTTTCTCCTGCTGTAAGTTTTTCCTAACAACTATTATTTGTCGTCTTTATGTGTCTAAAACATGTTTTTTTTCTAATGTATACAATATAACTGTTCTTTAAGAGCCATTTCTATCTTTTGGTGCAGGAAACAAGAGGATCAGCACTTCCTATGATAAAACTTTTAGATGGATGGCAAACTCTTAAGGTTTGTCCTTTTAATTTTTTTATATTCTATTATTTTTTTGAGTTTATTTCTTTTTGTTTTGTGATTTCCTTCCGAGTTTAATGTTTTCATCTCCATCTTCATTGTAGGAAAATTTACTGCCGTTGACATTGAGCTATTGCAAAGAGAGAGGGGAAAAAAATGGGAAAGTAAGAAAAAGAGAGAAAAATAAGTTAGATAAGGTAGAGGGAAAAGAAAATAATGAAGAGCAGCAAGAAAAATAGGAGTCAACAAAAAGAAAAATAAAAGAAAGAGAAAAGGTAAAAAAGAAACAAATAAAAAAATAGTTCGAAAGAAAGGTTACAAAAAGGGAGAGGCAGAGAGACAGTATAAGAGCCAAAAAAAAAAGAAGATAAAGAGAGACACAGAAGGAGGGTGGAAGGTAGGCAAGGAACAGTAAAAAAGGATAAGAAAAAACAATGAATCGGTTTCACTCTTCTCCATTTTAGACTATGAACAATAAATTTTCTCTCAAACCGTAAGCTCTCTAATTTTGTGATGTTCATCGTGACTGCCGATTTCGCCGCTGCTGCCATTGATTCGTCCCTCCGCTGTCTCTTGCATCTCTTGCATTTCAAAGGCCGTTAGTCTCTCTTTCAAACACCATCTCTTTATCCATTAATTTTTCTCCATCTGCACCTTTACAACTCTGTCTCATGAGCGTACTGCATTTTTTCATTTAGGGAAAGCAAGAAGTTTTTCTCTGTTTTTTTTTTCACATTTTCTATTGTAGGTGGAAAGCCTAGGTAGGTTCTTTATGTACTCTAGCCTCCATTTCACTCTTGAGTTCTCGGATTGTACCTCAATCTCTCACTATCTCCCTCTGCTAATTTTGGAACAAAAAGATTGGTATTTGTTCTCTGCTCACCCCCCTCCCCCCTAATGTTTTTATTTAGATTTTTTTCTTGAGAAACTTACATTGTTTTCTGGCATCTATGCACCTCTGTTTAGTTTTTGTAGTTTTATAGTTCTCATTAGTCATGGTTGTTTTATGTTACCATGTTTCATAAATTTTAAAAAATAGAATATTGTGGATCTTCTGTGACGGTTTTCAATGTGTGATGTTTTTGGCTTGATATGTTAGATGGGTTAAGCTAGCTAACTTTATTTTATTTCTTTTGGTTAGATGAAACACTCTTCACAACCTACAAGTCGATGGTGTTAATTGGAAATGAGCGTAAAGATGATTGCTTGGTGCTTTTTTTTTCCTTAATTTGAAGTTGAACTGCTATTTAGCTACTTAATTGTCTGTGTTTTGGTTCTATTATTTCGACTGCTGCGGAATGGACTATATTTATATTTAGCTTATTTTCTATTGTTCAATTTAGGGTTCTTGGTTTTATTTTATTTTATTTTATTTTTTTTGTTATTTCTGGATTCTCGTGTAGTAGCTGAATAAACAATTCAAAGTTTGACTTATCTAAAAAATGAAACTTTTCTTTTGTTCTGTTCTAGTGGCAGTTTTTTATAGAAAGCAACATACTTAACAAGGCACCCTTTTCTTTCCCACTTATTCTTTGTTTGTTGAATAGCACTCATGTTTTGTTATATATCTTATTTGAGGCATTTATCCATCACTCCAATATTTATTTGTCTTCACTTATGCCAGGAGCCTTTAAGGGAAAAAAATTTAACGATGCTTATTCTTTTAGGGACCTAAACGAATTGTTGATTTTAACAATTTTCTTTTGTGTTTGGTATAATTGAACCATTTGTCTATTAATATTTTGTTCTTAGTTCTAAATGGTCGTTTCTCTCTTTGAAAGTACATATACTGGGATGCAGCTCTTCCAATAGTGTATTTATCCACATGTTTATATAAAGGTAAATAGGTTACTATGGATCTAGTTTGTCCAATTCGTGCAAATGTTTTTGTCTCCATATTCTTTCATATTACATGCCATATATTTTAACATTTGGTGTTGTTTTCACTTGTGTGCCTAGTAGTCATCTTACTCTTTCATGTCGTTCTTTCATTTCATTCTTGCTCCCTTTCATTGTCTTCTTGTTTTGGTTTTGTAAGATTCTGTCACGTCTTGATTTATCTTTGTGCCTTTGTTTCCATTTTTTTCTCTTTTCTTCTTTTTCCATCCCAGAACTTAGAGCTTTTCTGCCTCTCCATTTCTTTGCGGTTCTTCTTTGTTGTTTCTTTTGCATTCTATGCCTCTCCACTCGATTTGTTCTTTTTGCTACTTCATTGTTTTTCCACAGGGTTCATGGATTCTGTCGCAGCATTTCCTGCTCAGTCCTCAAGGTTTTCTTTGTCTCTTCTCTTATGTTTTTTATTTGGGCGATTTTGTTTGTTGTAGATTTAAATTTGTTACTTCAATTTGGTTTATGTTTGTATTTATCCTATTACTGAATTTATGGTTGAAAGAACCTTAATTTTTGTCCTAAATCACGAGGTACTATCTTTTTAGTTAGCAAATTAGTTAGCGAAACTCTGATTTTGTTTTTCTTGTTCTCTTTCAGTATTTGAAGTTCGGATTATGATTTTGTTTTCAATTCTCTTTCTTGAACTTTTTTTATGAGGTTCTTTCTTGAACTTCACATGGTGGTGATAACGTTCTTTCTGTTTTTTTTTGGTTGAGTTATGTAAATGATCTGTTGTGTCTTTAGCATTTTTACAAGAAGACATCATCCAGGGGGAGATGAAGGGAAGGCTTCCTCTACAACAAATCCTGAGTGTTGAGCTTCCTTAACACAAGCATCCAATTAAAAATCTGAACTTTAGTAGGGACCGAGGCTTTCCAAATAAAATGATACAAACTAAAATTGGGGTAAGCACTATCATCAATAAAAGATTTGAATAGAGATTTGCAAGAGAAAAGTCCCGAACTATCCAACTCCCACGAACATCTATTAGGAATAAATTTACTTTATCTAACTCCCTCTAAACAAGTCAAAAGCCCTGCTAACTCACCCAATTCTTGTAATGACCGGGAAAAATTTAGGTCTAATCCGGACAGTTCGGTCTTTGACCGAAATCCTTTCCGGAATAGTAAGATTCGGATGTAATCAAGGAAAATGTTATGTAAAAACTTTATGTACGGGGTAAAATTTTCTAAAATATGTAAAGTTATAATGCGAATATTTTTACCAAGAAAATTCGTAAATATCAATTATGAATAGTGAAATATTGGTTAAAGGTTAGAAATTCTAGTGGGTATATTTTAATTATGAAAAACTAAAATGTTTGGTTTGTGACCAAATGATCAGCTAGAAAAAGAGTAAAAATATTACAAGGAAAATAGCAAAAGTTCCTGAAATGGAATTTTCCTGCGTCAGTTAAAGTGGGAAACTGTCAAAAAAATGAGTACCGCAAGGGTACGCGTTTTGGACAATTCTGAATCAATTAAGATGAAAATTTCAGAAAAAGAAATTGACTAATGAGATACCCAAGAGAATTGGGTTGAACATGAGAAGTTTGACCCAGGGTACTCGGCAGTTCAGAAAAGTAGTATAGAATCTGTACTGATTGTGAAATTATTAGTATCGGAAAGAGACTCGTTTTGAGAAACGGAAAGTTAGGTCTTGACAAGAAAAATTTGAAGAATATAGAACCCACTCATTTGCTAGCACGTATCTTGGATATAGCAAAGAATAAAAGTAGGTTGAACAAAGTTTTAATATATATATATATACTTATATATATATATATATTAAATTATCTCTAAGTTATAGTGTATATATATATATATATATATTAGATTAATCTTAGGTACGTTAGGAAAAAAAAAAAAAAAAGAGGGGAAAAGTATAGTTACCGTGAGGGGGAACCTCACATGCATTAACACCATGTGTCATTACGTAAACTAAGTTGAAGGGTGACTCATGTTGGCTATGTACTCAATGTTGGCTACATGAAGTTATCTCTAGCTTGATGACTCACGTAATGAAGATTCACGTTGGTTACAAGGATATTACTTACTTCACGTGAAGTATAGCAGAGGAAAAAAAAAAAAGAAAGAGAAAAGACGTGAGGAAGTTACGAAGAAAGAAAAAAAAAAGAGTTTCTAGAGAGAGACGGAGGAAGGAAAATCAAGCATTTTCATTGAGATTTCTCCTGTTCAGTCCGGTAGAAACGTAACCTGAGGCGTTCTAGCGAAAAAACCTCAACTTCTAGAGGTAAGATTTCGGAGTTTTCGTGAGAATTCTATGTTTTCTTGATTTGGATGAATAGTAACCCATCTCAGAAAAACTTTTGTTAAAGTGAAAATTGAAACTGAGGTTTTGTACAGCATCGTAATAAGAGTTTAACGGTGTAAGTATTAAGACGATTGAATGAAGTTTTGGTGGATTTCTATTGAAAATCCGTGAGCCTAAATTAAGAAAGAACATATGTTTTGTTCAAAATGTTGGAATCTGTGTTCAGGAATGTAAATCTTGACTCCAGGTACCGAAATCGGAAGTAGAACGAGTTATTGAAAACTCGGGAAACGAGAAAAATAAGGCGAAACTCTACCAAAATTTCCTAAAAGTTAGTAAGCAATGAGATAGTAATTGATTCTAGAAAATGAATAACAGTTTTAAAGCTCGGAAATGAACATATTAAGGTTTAGAAACCGAGATACACAAATATGTGTAATTTACCTCTTAAACTAGGATTCGGCCTAGAGGAAAAAAAAGGTTCGGAAATGAGTTTGGAATTAGATTTTAAAAATCTAAGTATGAAGAATTGTGATTTGGAATAGGAAATTTATACCTATTTCCATGAAACAGGTTTTGGCACGAGAGCCGAGACAACGAGAAAGAATTTCTAGCAAGCGGGAATCCTAGCGAATTATAAGTAAGTATAGACATATATGTTTGTCTAGACTCGAGTAAGCTGTAGTCAGACTTAGAACTATGAACTTACTTATGTTTCCAAGTCTATGTGATAATATGTGATTATACGTGTTTGGAGGGCTCAGTGCCCTAAATTGCAGAAGGGCGACATATGACTACCCTTATGCACAGTTAAAGTATGCAAGTAGTATATTGCGTTTTATGTTAGCATGTGCACGTAGAGAAACGTTGCATATCATTTAGTAAAGTTTTTAACACTTTGAAATGAAAACTCAAAATTTAGTAATGTAAAGAGACTGACGGGTCGTCAGCCTCCCAAGGGAGGAAATCTCAAAGAGTAGAGATTCTGACTAGACCAGACAGTAAGCAGGGGCCCAGGCCCACAGTAACAAGACAGTAAGTAGGGGCCCAGGCCCATAGTAGTAAGAACATAAAGACAGAAAGCAT